ATTTTGCTGTACCAAGTCCGGGGACCAGATATAATTCCGTTAGCAACAAGAGATCCTTGTCGATCCTTGTGTCAACTAAGGCTTTTCCACGGGTTTTTTTTCGTAGAATCTGAAATTGACTGGTTAAAATTATTTTAGAGTAATGAAATCAATTAAAAATGCAGTCGCTTACATGATAAATTATGAACTTTAGTTCAGTTGGTTTTTTTTTTTTTTTTTTTTAATGACGATAATTTTAGACAGAAATAATCGCCTGAGATTTTTTTTTTCTAAATAGGTTTGAAAAAAATTGTGAATTTTTAAAGTCCTAAAATCAAGTATCAAAATTTCAGTATTATTTAGAAGAGATTATTTATATTAACACTAGTGTTTGTTGGTAAGCTTATTTTCTACTATAACTAAGGGTAGGTTACCAGAGCACGCTTTGCAAGGGCCTCGAGTGCACATCAGTGACTATAATCGACCATTTTGCGCCATATGCACGGCATTCCTCGATTCCTGACGAATACCTTGTACATGTACCTATTGTAGTCAGGCATGTCTGGATAACTTAATTTTGCTCGAATTGAGGAAAAAGATTACGTCAACAGTCGATAATTTGTCGATACTTTGGATTTTTATCTTATTCACTGACTCAAGTTATTAATGAATTAATAAACATCTATATTATCGACAAATTATCGACTGCTAACTTCATGTTTTTCTCGTTTTTCCGTATAATTTCTGCAGGAAAAAATTACCGAGGCTCCATACTGTTGTACTAGTTAAACAATAAATTAGTTAAAAACAATAAATAATCATGAATTTCATTGAAAAAAATGATTATTTAGATTTCAAGGCTGATTACCTAATTTAACACGATATTTTTTGATAAATTTAAGTAGTTACAATGGCTATTCTTACCCAAATGGTGGGGCAAATTTGTCTATAGGGTGGGGCCCATTTAGCGAGGGCAGATTTAACCATTGATGATATGATAAAAAAATATCGTTTTTTTTTTTTTTTTTTCATGAAATGAAACTTCAAATAAAAAAATTTGATTGTTTTTATTAAGTATTTGGTCTGTGTTAATTATTTTAAATTACAGAAACACGTTTTTTATTGCATCAATCTCAACTATAGTATTCAGTGATTTGATTTGATTGCATTTGAATATAGAGCAGTAAATAACAATGTTTAAATCCATATATTATGCATTATACATTATTAACGAGAATAAATGTGGAAGCAAATACTTAAACGTAATGATAAATATTTTCACTTAAAGTAATAGCTGATGCTAAAAACACTCTCGTATGCTTTGGTAATTTATAAAATGTATAAATACAGTTATGATAAATCAAAGATGATTTTTGACATGTATACATGGAATACATAAAATACGGATGCAATAATACAAGGCTTTTTTTTTAAATAGCGACAACTCAAAGGTACATGTAAAAGTCACTAGCTTCACGGTATAATGTCTTCTTCCTTTCGGAACTAAAATTTATTTTTTAGAATTACTCAGCCAAATCTTAAATTATTACCATAAATTTTATAAATTTCTCTTTCATTATGAATTTTTATATAATAACCTTATCCAAACGAGTTACAAAATACAGTGGTACGATTGTCGATACAGTCACTGTCAGCTCGGCTTTATCTACGTGAAGCACGTATTCATATATAACTTCTCAAATGAATCATAGAATCTGATAAAAATGTTAATCATTGTCGATGAAATACTCGTCACATCCACGTGTTACATAAATCAAGATTATGTCTTGAAATCGTTTCTAAAATCGAAAACTCATGATTTCGCGATAATTAAGCGATAAAGTAACATAATTCCAGTAACAAGATGTTTGTTGCAAAATTTTTCGATTTTCGTACAGTGTAAAAATGACAACTATTTTTACAATTCAATACAGAGAATTCTGTAGCTTGTTGAATGTGGTCTTTACAGCTGTATAGTTGTTTGTGCCAAAATTCACAATGTCTCAATTTAAAGCTATTAAAACTAGTCGATTAAACTGAAGATAATAATATTTTTTCTGTACTATCGTACAATCGTATACAAACCTGATTTATTAATGTCTTAATCTTACTCGAGTCTATTCTCAAATAAATGTTTTTTTATCGTTGCACTAATACATGCAATTTTATACTTCTTTGTGCTTATCGTTTACATTACAAACTCTGTATTATCCATATTAAACAAAAATAATAAAAAATTAAAACAATTAATAAATTATCAACAATAAAAATACATCAATAATGCCATTTTTTTAGAGTATATTGTATATTTTAAATTGTTAATCATCACTATTTAAAAGTATAAAGAGTTTACATTACAATTTGCTTGCATAAAACCTTTGGCTTACACCGTTCATTGCAAGTGCAAATGAATTTTTCATGTTTCTCATCAATGACTACTTCTCTATATGAAAAGTTCTAATTGATTTTAGTAAGACAACTTCACCTATTACTATTATTTTTTTGTCTATTCGTATTTTTACGTGGGAATGAGATTGGTAAGGAGGTGCGTCGCAAAAATGATCAACACTTATTACCTCAAAGACCTTTATTCAAGTTACCACATTTATAAGGCAAAGTAGCACGTGTTTTTTTTTTCGAGGCTCGTTTTTCACTCCCCGAAAGTCTCTTCCCTTGCTCTCTCTTTCCTACTCCTGGCCCTAAGGCCCCTTGTTACGAGATGCAAGAAGAGGGAGAGTAGAGTCTCACCTATTACTTACGTACGTTACAATATGTAAGCCTTAATAAATTAAAAAGTAAATCTAAAAATATTAAATTTTTTTTTGTTTTTGTAAAATTTCTTCTTTACTTGGCAAGATAAGATTTATACCTTGTATAATCCATATCTAGTGTCTGCATCAACTTAAAATCACTACCAAATAGCTTATTGTACAAGGCTTTCGTAAATTTTATCTACTACCTACTATAACCATTTTATTCCGAACATTATTATTCACTTACAAAACTTTTTTTCTACATAAATAAAAGTCCACATTTAGGATTGTTTTTAAAATGATTTTTAAAATCAAATTTATATGCATTAAATTAATATTAAAATATTTATTAATTTAGGTAATCATCAAAAGTAGTTGTTTTTGTTCATCTGGTTTTAAAAAATAAATATAAATTATATCGTAATAGGATTTAAAGCGTACGTTAAGCATGAGTATACATGTATATTATTTTTATTACCCTATTAATTATCTTTCTAGTAGTCTTTAAATAAAACTTTATTTGAGATGGATACAACTCTTCTTCTTTGAGCAAAACAATTAACAAAGAACCTCAGACCCACGCACATAATATTTATTTTAATTGCGTTACTGAGCGTGAGCTCATCTAAATGTCTACAAAGAAGGTTCATTCGGAACAATATGGGTTTTTTTATTTTTTTTTAATTAGACTATGTTGTGTTCACAGTTTTAGTTATGCGTAATACTTTTTTTCCCGTTACAAAAATCTAAAGATAAACAGTTATAAAATGTTTTTGTCATCCCGTTATTTTAAATTTGTCGTATAGATTTCTGTATGTACATCTTTAATTTCAGCATTTTAATCTTAACTATAATCATTTTTACATCACTAAAGAAGATTTCAAAGTATCGTACCCACTGCTCGTATGACTCATTGTGAACCTTGAGAATTTGTACGCAGATGAATTCTAAAAAAACACTTGAAAAAATACACCCACTCGTACATTCGTCCCATCGAAAAATATTACTGTGAATTACAGTGACTCATAATTTTTCCACCGTTATCAGAGTGCTTTCCGTAAAAAAAATGAGGTTGTATTTTCTTACATGAATATTTCAACGCTAAAGTAAGTTATCGCAAAAAAAAGGTTAATCAGTATACGACGTAGATTTATTTGAGGTGCATAATTACTGTGCATACTTTTAAATAATGTTTGTTAAAACTACGATTAAAAATCGTCTTATTTATTTTTTTTTTTTTTTAATATTATACTGAAACGTAAAACGACAAAGCTTGAAAAACACGAATTTAAGAACAATGGAAAAAGTTTATTATGAATAATTCAAGAACAAATTGACAAATTGTAGTGATAAGGTAAAACGTTACTTAGTTATTTCAGATTCAAAGAGATGGTGACTGAACAAATATGAGGCACGTATTGTTAAAAAGTTTTATCATGTCATTTAATAAATAAAAACATTGTAAATGGTAACACATTTTATTATTAAAATATGAAATGCAAGCTGCAAAATTTAAAATTTTTTATAAATACGTAAAAAGTTTGTAAGAGAAATTGTCTTTCTAAATGCCGTGTTTCCTTACGATTTTAATTGTTAATAGATCAAAACTTGTCTCTTTAATATTAAAAAAAATATATTAATTTCGTTTGTCAGTTTTGGAGGATAGAGCTTTTTCCTCCTGTATCATTTAAAATACGCGAAAAAATTTACAAGTAGAGCTATAGTTTTCAAAACTGTTTAAGGTTATATTTCATGTCAGTACATAGGCCAAAAATTATTTATTTTAATTACTTCGTTTTTCCAGAGGCACAGTTACTTCCTCGTTTGGAAAAACATTTTTAACAAATTGTTTTAAGTCGTTGAATGAACACAAGCACTTTCTAGAAAAAAAAAGGAAAAAAAATACATTTGGTCAAAATAAGTAAAAAAATTAATAGAAAGTAGAAAAACATTACTAAATTGGTACAAAAATTTTAACGAGTGATACATTTACCATGGACACTTTGGGCGTCGTAGTGAAAAATTAATCAGTCATAAGTATAGGTGAGCGTGTAAGATTAAGAAAAAAACAGTCATCCGTACAGTCAAGTTTCTTAAAAACAGTAGCAGCTGATGCGAGAGATTACGTACGTAAACGAAACGAAGGCATTTATCATCTACACTACGAACTTTTTTTTTTTTTTTTCTTCATCACCCCGATCGAGATAAGATAGCGAATCAAAAAAATTCGCATACTCTGGAGTGTTTATAAGCCAATGGAACAGGTACTCCTCATCAGTTGCTTTAACGAGTTAACGATAACAAGTCAGTGACAATGGCATCGTACAAACACATCGCCCTCTCGGCAGTGGTGTTGGCCGTCCTGGCCGTTGGCATCGGCGCCGTGAGTCTGACACAAGGCAGCCGTCAAACTGGGGATACCCTCGCCTGCTACGGAGACGTGCATTTGCCCGCTCAGTACGGCCGCAGTGTCAGTGCCTCGAGAATTTGCAACGTGCCCAACCCGAGGCAGCTGATCACCTTCATTCAGGCCCAGGACCTCGGGACCCTAGGCAGAGGTGGCTACGCGCAAATCACCAGCGGCGGACTGTACCAGAGAACCGTAACTGTGCACATGTGGAGCCAACCTGGACAACCTCTTGACTTCAATCTCAACGTTTTTGCGAAATCTTACTAACAAGTTTTTGTTTTTCTCTCTTTTTTTTTTTTTTTTTCAAACAAAATTATTTCGTTTTATGAATACAATAAATTTTTGACGCGTGTGCGTGCGTGTGTGTTTGTAGTTGGGTACGGCCAACTTTACATGAATTATTGATTTATCATTGGTGTTACTGATTTAAATCTGTAAATTGTCATCCTGGATGAAAATTAAACACCTTACTGCATACTCATCAACTTTCATTTATTTTATTTGGCCCTTCTGTTCTCTACGCTCGAAATTTTCATTCAAGACTGATAATCAATAAAAAAACTCATCTGCCTGTATTAGGAAAATTACAAAAAAATGTAAATACTTACATATTTCTTTGTTATACTATACATGAGTCATTTCACTGGATTCTCCATAATTTGAGGTGTACAATAAGATTTTACAACATCAGTCTTAAGAAATTTTTTTTATAAGAAAGTTTTCTGTTCGAAAACCCATCTCATTTTAAATAGGATTTTTAAAAATATTTTTAAGAAAATTACGTTAATTACAGACATGTCATTACCATAATGGTAATTTTTTAGCAGCTATGAAGCTTCGAAATAGAATTTTACAGCGAAATTAAATTTGGTTTGGTACATCTGCTCAACAAGCTCCTCCCCGCATGTTATGGCTTCTTAGTCGATAATTTTAAAAACCACCGACGATACTGTGACTACCCGATTTGAATTTGGGGTTGTAAAAAATCGACGACAACTCCATAAAACAATTTTTTTCAAGTGTCCAAAAATCGATGACTTACACAAATTAAGGTAAAGGTACAGATGCTGTAACGATTTTTTGTAAAATTTCGTTTAAAAATTCATATAAAATCACATTTTGGAAATAACATAAACATTTAAATTGTTATTTATACATTTTATTTCCTATTTACCATACACCTTTTTGTTTGATTTTATCTTAACCAGAAATAATTTTAAATTGATAAAAACTTACCACATAACGTTGTACCTAACGCGAAACACCGTTGAGAATGCATGTCCTGACTTCCGATAGTGGTAAGTATATGATGTACCAATAGTCTGGTCATCATCTCAAGATATTGTATTTGTTGGAATAAAAATTCCGCTAGTAACATTAAAATGGCTAAAATTTTGAAAATTCATTTCTCTCTTTTTTTACTTTTATTTTATTTTTTCATTTTCTTAACTGCACTCATAATTAACACAAAAATTTCCAATTATTTTTACCGCTATAGGTAGCATGAATATTTAAATACTGATTTATACTCCACTCACTTTTTTCAAACTTTTTACAATAAATTATTACTAGAAATCCACCTTTTGCTTTAAAAGAGCATACGTTGCATGAACTATCTTTATCTGAGGATTCGTATGCATTACTTACTTAAACCAAAATTTATTCTTGTTGCTTTACATAAAAATCAACTGTCGAATTTTTGGGCAGGAAAAGTTTTTTTTTCACAATTTAATAAACTGTACGTGATAGAGCATGAATATATCAACTTTATTTCCTCATTATTTACTATTCAAATTCTTTTCTTTCGTAGTCGTAATAATGTTATTACATCAGGGTTGACCAGAACCTAGAAGAATATTTTTTGTTAGCTAAATGGTAATAAAATACTTTTATGATAAGCACGCATGGTGTGTAACTAATCGTTACTGATTATACAATGTTTGTGACAACGAATAAACCAAAACAACAATTACTGTTTTTCAACCTAATTCTAAAAGATCCATTTTTATTCGGTGACATTAATCAAAATACTATGATCAAATAAGCAATAAAAATTTATGCTACGTATTTTCATTTACTAAATGACAGACTCAGAGTATCAGCCCCATTAATAAAAAAATTTATAACTTTGATATTACTATTGAGAAATACCCTGCATTGATCAATGTAAATCTGATTTCATCATCATCTATTTTAAGCATCATTTTCCATATCAATTCATCCATTTTTTTTTTTTTTTTCGTGAAGCCACTGCCGGTTTATCTCTCCAACCTCATCCCTACAGAGATCTTAATCGTATGGAAATAAGCGACCAACGTGTGACATCAATTTATCTTTGTATAGACACTTGATAGTATCAGCACTTCGTGCACGAAGGTTAACGTTTGTAATGAGTGAGTCAATTTTTCCGCTATTTAAAATGATTAGGGCCTTGTGAGAGCTTCACACACCAACCCGATAGTCAAACATTAATTTTTTCACGTTAAAAAAAAAGAAGCTATTTTAAACAAATTTTTCCTACCACGTTCCTTTTTATCTTTATTCAACATACGAATTTTATTTGTGTCTTTTTACTGTCTCAAAATTTTATTATTCTATTTGCCTGCTCTAAAAGCTACGTGTTCTACGAGCTCTAAACCTATAACCTGTAACTACAAATATTTTCAACTCCGATTTAAGTACCACTTATTTGTCTGATTTTAGTTTTTTTTCGGGTGACATAATTCATGCAATACTTTATCGTGCTAATTTTCTAATATCAGAGGGCTCCGACCACTTCATGTTTACATATGTCTTTTTGACTTTATACTGAAGAATCAAAGAACACATAAAGTCTAATCGTAATCTTAAGTCAAAATACCTGATGCTACAATATTCTTTAAACTTTTGGATAGCATCAATTACGTTTTGAATTACGTCACCCTTTTACTTTTTTTTCTATAGTTATAATTTTCATTTAAACTAGTTCACAAAACGTTACTGTAAAGATAATGACATTCTTACAATAATTTATTATTTCTCAAAAAAAGATGATTCAAAATAGTAATCATGATAGTATATTTTTATAATATCGACATATAAATCAATTCCAAGTTTATTTTTTTATTTTTTACTATACATTTTACAGAAAAAGCATGGTCCTTAGAAATTACCATAAAGATATTAATAAAATACATACTAATCAGCACTGCCATAGACTTTGAGCAACAGACTTCATCATAGAACTATTTTAAAGTTTATTAGTTGTAATGAGTTAAATAAATTCAAACGATTTTGTTATTAAAATGGAAATCATTTGTTTTCTATAATGATGTGGTCTTGTGGTATGGTTCAAAGCAAGGTTATTGCAAATGAAAATTTTTTTACTTTTTAATTGACAAATATTACTGATATTGAGTATTTAAAGTGATCTCTTATGGCTGGTAGGTGCCCTCTAGCAAAAATGGTCTAATTTGAAAGAATAATTGAATTGTAAACCAGTAGAGTAGCATATAAAAAAAAGCTAAGTACGAAGCCATACCCAGAAAACACGCCTCTCGATTCATTTTAAAAATAATTTTTTGATTTTTTTAAAGATTCCACATCTGGTTCCATTTGTTTGCAATTGATTACTAGCGATAAAAAAGCTACTTGTTAAATGTGATTACTCATAACGCGCGTAAAAGTAAATTTGGAATACGTTAACTTTGAGATTGCTTTCGTAGCCCAAGTATCATACAAAACAGAGGGTTCAAGCGTGGCATTTAATTGGTAAATTTTCCAAAATTTCAAAAACTTTTGAGTCAATTAATAATTTAAGCTTTGCGAGTGCATAAAAGTAAACTTGGATTACTCATCAGTTTCCAAATGAGAAAACACCATTTATCATATTAAAATTAAACGTACAGATTGGGTACAGCTCGATAACTTTAACCAATTTTGGTTTCACACATCGATTCTGCAGGTTTTAGTTTAGAGTGATCATTAGCTCACTTGTATAAATTATTCCAACGATATGAATTTCAATATAAAGCTCATGAAAGTTTGAGCTTATATACGACAAAACAATCTTTCAAGCTTTTAATTTTCTATGAAAAAAAAGTACAAAAAAAGCATTCGCGTCAATTATGAGCTGTTTTCTTATATATACCTATTTGTTGAAAATATATTTCCTGGCAGTTTCTCTGAATGAAAAAAAATTTTGCTGTTTGACTCTCGAAGCAAGATAAAAACACGAAACAGCAAAACAAAGTAACTTCGCTGCGTAAAATAAAACGCATGCTACACGAGGAAGTGCGCTTAATATACAATTTAACTCAGACGTTTTTGAAAGCTGATGAGAAGAAGAGATAAGGAATTTTCTTGACTAAAGAGAACACTCTCGAACAGAAATGACGTGCTTCGCTCGACATTTAGGTGGAAGAAATTCTCAGCTTGCGTATACTAAGAGGACTTAACAGAAAATTAGTTTACATGTTCTTTATGATTTTTTAAATTTTAACTGACACAAGTGGCATGTTAATAGTTAACATACCATATTTACGTTGAACCTGCGCCACGCGGGATACATGTTATACATAAATTAATAGTTAACATATGAAGTTAATTACTAACAAATCCTTCTCTCAGTGTAATCCTTTAAAAAAAACCTCGACTAATGTGGAACCTCATAGAAAAGTGCTGAAAGCTTCATCTCAACTCTAAGCGAGATTGTTATATTGTTTTAAGATATTGTATGCTTTAGCATATTCACCTGCTACTATGCGGAGATGTGAAGTTTTCTCATGTTAGTCATACCACAAGTCTTTTTAGAAAAAAAAAAAAAAAACGAATGTCTGACAAGATATTCCCCAGACACCTTTGACTCTGAGGACAATGCAGGCTAAAGAATTCAATATTAGAGTCAATATGATAGCAATCACAAAAGAGCCAATTGCCTTCTACGTGCGTATCGTATATTTGTACTTTTTTAACATGGGTATAAAAAAAGGATTATGATTGTAATAAAATACAAAGCAAACTACATAACACGTTTATGATTAACCACACTGTAAGTAACATTACATTTGTTTCAGTGTGGTGGTTTGAGTAGTATGTGTAACATGTTAATATTATAATAATAATAGGATATTATTTTCCCAAACTGAGGAATTTTTTTTTATTGTAATCTAGTGCTCCTCAAGATTTGTTACAAACTGAAAAATAGAAAAATAAGTTAAAATAAGAAACAAAGTTTACAGACACGATCACCTTTATTGGACTTTTTCTCCGAATCATCTACCTATATACACTATGATAACTAATTCTTAGGTTGAAATGAAAAAAGATTGAAAGTTTAAAAATTAAATTAAATACAGTCAAAAAATTTAATTTTACACTAATTTAAAACATGATTACTGTTGGTTGCAAACCCACACGGATAGATCAGAAAAAAAAATTACTTTCTCATTTTTTATTGAATAAAAAAAAACATTTTTTCATTTCCATTTATTCAACTAAAATTAAAACAAAATTTAACAATGTAAAATTATACTTGATCCAGCAAGACCAGGTGGTTAACATTAGCTGTGTATTAGACATCTAAGTATTTTTCGTTTCTTACACACACAAAAACAAACCATAATACAACAAGTCCAAGTTTGGAATGAGGATGATTAGTAAGAACTGATTTAATTGTACGATCCACTGCTTTCAGGCGCCACAATCTCTCATTGTTTCTCTAAATCCATCATTTTATACGCTGTGATTCAACTTTTTGTATCTGCCTCGATCTGCCTGTCTGTACTTCTTTGTGATAATCTTGTAACTAATTTTTAGTGTACTTCTGTAGATTAGCTAAAAAAAAATTTTTTTTCTGGTGTAGAGGTTTATTATGGATTACAATTTAGTATAGCGATTAAGTTTCTTCCTGAAATTTTTTTACATTACTTCTTATATGAAAATGACAAATTTTAAATGTAGATCAGGTTAGTGCCCTTAGATCCTCTTGTCACTCGTTACAAATGGCAGTGGATAAGTAGACACATTTCAGGCGCTAAAAAAAAAAAAAAAAAAAAAATCCATTTGCACCGGAAAAGTACTTAGTTACTCATACTGTATAACCAAAATATCCGGTATGCAAAATGAAGCCCACGATTCTGATATTGGTGGCCACAAAGAAATATATCAATAACTTATCCTCGAATTCGTGAACGATTCTATTTCAAGGGCATTAAAAATAACGTTATCGAATACGTTAAAAATTCTGAAAAATTTAAAAGGTGAGATCTTGCTCACGTACGTAAAAAATTACCTATGAATATAGTGATACATATATTACCACCACCTCCATGAAAGTACTTGAAATCTTGGCAGTGGATGTTGTAGTTTAAATAAATACAGCACATACCTCTCCAAAGCCCATCTACTGGTGTATACTCTACGACATTCTTAGTTTCAATGAACAAACAACGCCTGCTCATATGACAACCAACTATGCGCGTTTGTATACTCGTAGAAGCGGGCGTGAGAGGCTTCGATGCGTTATCTTCAAGTGCTCGAACTTACCGCAATTTCAGTTGACAACTTGTATAAATTCAAGTTAAGTAAATTGCATGATAAGACTTTATTTTCACATAAATACGCATTGTGAGAATCTAACAATACCATTAACTAAAAAAAAACGAAACTCAAATCTCACATTCAAATACAATGCCCACCACTGCACAACGTATTGTGTGGCTTGTTTATCGTCTTGCAGGAAATCGTCTCGGCGAAATTCTGAGTCATACTCCAAGTCACCTTTCGTTTGCGTCGACTTCTTTCGATAAGATAAAAAAAAAAAGCACATCTCAAGTCATACAAACACACTATAAAAACCACAAGGGCGTGGATTCCTCAACTCAGTACTTTCCCAAGCATCAACGCACCTGCAATGGCTACTTCGAGGCAAAAATTTCTTTTGGCAGCCGTGGGCCTTGCACTCGTAGTGGCTGGCATCAGTGCCACGAGTTTGAGAGCGGGCGCTCGGAGGCCCGGGGATCACCTAATCTGCTCGTTCAAGGTGAACGTGCGTGCTCGGCTTGGAGCAGCGGTCAGTGAAATCCGAAGATGCAGCGTGCCGAAGTACAACCAAAACATCACTCACGTGTCTGCCGTGGATCTGGGAAAGGCAGGCCGGGGTGGCTACGCGCACATCAATGACGGCGGCGTGGGAAAGAAGAACGTCACCCTTTTCCTCTGGAGCCAAAAAAGTCAACCGCTCAACTTCACCGTCGAGGTTTACGCGTGGCCGTAACCATAACGAGGGCTATACGTGGGTTGTCGAAGCTTAAGACAACTTCACCACTACATTTGTAAATATAATGCGTTTGAAGGTGCGATTGATGCATGTACGGGTTTTGAAATGAAAAATGTACGTTTTCTTGGATACCAAATAATGGGCAGTCCGTTCGATCTGTTAATACAGGAAACAATGTATCTGGGAATAAATTCGATACGTGTTTTGAGATGGAACGAAAATTAACTTTGTTTTTTGTTTTTAATATGAGTTGGATGAACATGATACGAATTTATGGATAATATACGTTACAGCAGTGTTAATAAAGAAGGTGAAATATAAATAACTTCTAATTTAATATGTTCATCCAAGTGGTACACAATATTAGTTCTGGACATTTTTTTTTTTTTTTTTTTTTGGTGTACGTAAAATTTGAAACTTTTCGTTTGATTATTAATAAAGTTTATTTAATATTATTCAAGTTGTTATGTGATTTAACAATCATTTTTTGATTCTTCATTGAATTTGGTATAAAGCGTAACTTTATATTTACCTTTTACGACAAATTTTTTTTTTTGTTACTCATGACGTCAATACAGTTTTGCGTTGCATCACAATTTTTGTTTCCGAGTCACGTAAACAAGCGTTTTATTGCTTTTGCAGCTGTAAATACCATGTTTTTTTATGTGATTTTAAGATGAAGAGAGCATTTCCTCACTAAAAATTCTCACTATAGCTAAAAATGGAAGTGTCAAAGTTACACAAAAGTAAAAATACTTTCATTTAAGTAGCGAGTAAATTTTATATTTATAGTACATAAGTTTGATCTATGGATTTTTCTGAAATTTTTGTATCACATTATAAATAGCTGTAGAATATCACAGTTGAAATATTAGATCAGTTTACTGGACCTGTTTTGAGATATTTGATAGTCAAAAAACACAATTTTACACAAGTGTTTACAAAGAAATTACCTAAAATTACATTTGCAAGGATTTTTATTTGTATGAAAAAATGCTGGTCTATCAACATTCTATCAAAGTTTTGGATAGCTCCAATAGTTATTTTTATTATAAAATAATCAAAAATAGAGTTGAGTTTGCGACTCTGGCAACGTTGTAAGTGGCTAAATTTAAAACGTACCAAAACAAATGTAATAATATGAGCCTTTTTTATTAAAAGTCACTTTTACTGCTACATTTTACAATTCTTAATTTACTAATACAGTATTTAAATTGTTNTTATACGCGGTAAGACTGCATTATATACTATTTACAATTTATCTCCGCTTTCAACGATATTGAATGCGTTCTAATAAACTCGACTTTTTTTCCAGGTATCTATTAATGCGGTGTCAGCGCGACGTATCCACTGCGATTTTTGTAAAGAATACTCTCGACCTGTTAGAAGTATTGTTCATTTCTGTTTTATTCCATAAATGTGTGATGATACTGTTAAAATTAATGTATTTAGAACTCATTTTTAAAAATTTGTTTCGATATGACAGGTGACATCAATGCAAAAGTGGGTGAAATCTTTTTTCAAACAAATTTACTTGGAATACCAACTGTTCCTGATATCAATCCATCAAATATGAAAAATATCAATGGTAATTGCAACAATTTTTGAATAAAGGTTACTTCTCTTTGTTTTTGCTATTTTTGTCTAGTTAAACTATAACCAAACAAACGGCATTATTTTATTTTTTTTCTTTTAGTTTAAATGAAATAAACATTATAAATCATAATCATAGTTAAAACAAAAAAAGATACACTTTGATATTTACGTAATAAACGCCGACATACACGCAGAACTTACACGAAAAGAGCTCTCAAGGTTGCCACTTACTTGCACCCCCAGACCTCAATAAAATTTTTTCCTCTAACTGAAAACCGTAATTAATGTCCTTAAAAGTCGGGGTAAGTATTACAACATTAATTATTAGAAGCTATCCCAGTTATAAAGACACATATAAAAAAGCCATAGACGTACTTGAAAGAAAGGTCATTAAGCAGAAATTAAGTCATGAGTTTCACCACTTTAGCCACTAAGCTCTATAGGTACAATTTAATTAACTGCACTATCGACGACGAAGTTATCAACTTAGTAATTATTAATGAAAAAAAAAAAAATCCGTAGCTTCAGATTCATACCCTGAAATTAAAATTCATAGTGAAATAAAATTATCAAAATTTTATGTAAATTTTTAGGTCTAAAATTGAGCATTGATCATTTTCACAGACATGATTCATCTTTGGAGTAATCTTGGCATTCACCGCAACCTAGTTCATAAACACATATTTATATAATGTAAAATTTTTTTATCTTGACACTTTGGATTTACAGCTGCTCTTTTTTTTTGCTGCAAAAAAAATATGTCAATCCATCTGCGTACATGTGTGGGCGTTGTGTACTTACGTAAGTGGTCATTATCAAATGTTAGCACTGAAATAATCGTCACATGTTTCACAGTACTCTCATTCGTAACGTAATATATATGTAATGATTTTGTCTGGCCAATCTTATTTTCCCTTTGGCACATACATTCATTTTTACTCTGCAAAATATTGTAAAAAAAAAAAAAGTTTTAATTTTTCATTTCAATACTGAACCAACAATTTTACTTGCTCGTTAGTTCAAAATACAGGTAGGCTGGTTTCTCAAGAAGCGAATTGAAACACTTGTAAAATGTAGAACAGAAAAATAAGCATGTGGCTCGGCATGTGATACTTTTAAATATTTTGAAAAAAAAAAAAATTAAGAATGAAAATTTCAGTCTCGATAAGTGAAATGTTTATTTAGCTGAATATATCGTTAATTGAAGTGATTAGGAAATAATACTAATTCCACAAACAGCTTTGCACAAAACTAGGGAGAATCTGCTGATTTAATTTCTCGTAAGCCGGAAGAAATAGAAACTCATAATATTTAGTGAGTTTCAATAACAAAGACAAATTTTATTAGCAGATCATCGTTTAGTTAGCATATGCCAAAGTGTTAATATAAAACTGATCAAATCAATCGGCAGATTTTCCGAAACAAACCTCAGTCAACCAGGACGTACGTACATAAAATTGCATGCCAATAAAAAATGTTAAAAACCACTGTTAACTGATAACGTCTCGTTAAAAAGCAAAATCTACGATGTGCAGTTAGATGATCAGTTAATAAAAATAGATTCATATGAACTTTGATAACTTTGTGATAATGCAGTTGAAGAGCAGTAGATTCTTGAATAGGTGGTCTATGACAGTGGTATTTCACTCGTGCGACTATTAGTTGATAAAACCGTCCAGTGCTGTGGACCATGTTACGTTCAAAAAAAGCAATTGTTCTTCTACTAGTACTGTTATCGACAGGGTCAGTGGTAACAATGAATTCAGGTGTTATAAATGACGGCAATTTATATGTTGGCCATCGACAACCAGGGGACAAAAGAATCTTGTACTTAACCGCTCGTCGACCAGCCATGCCTGGTGCGATTGTCAATTCAACGCACACCATAACTGCACCTTCTTCTCATTGCATAAATTATATATCTGCTACTAACGTTGAAGGAGAGAACAACGAAGGTTACGCAAAAATTGTTGAAGGAGGCGTAGGAAAAGACAAAGTTGGTATCGGTTTGTTCAACCAAAAAAGGACAGTCTCTTTTTTTCGACGTTGAAGTTTATGCCATTTCTCTCATGGATACAACTTATGCAAAATTCTAGACGATGAAATTTTAAATGCATTTTGTTTGGTTGTGCGTAATAAAAAGTTTAACGTCTAAAAATATTTTTTTTCCAAGTTATTTAAATTATACACAATGTCAAAAGATACGTAATCTTTTCCAAACGAATTTAATACGAAGTTTTATAAATTAAATAGATAGTATGTATATAAAATAGCGAAGTACAGTAATTTTCAAACTAACGGTACATAAATATATGCAATAGTTGTTGAAGATGTGTTGGTAAAAAACAAGGATGTTTACTACTGGTCAGTTGCACAAGTATTGACAACTACAATTTTGAATAGAGAAAAAAGAATGGTTATTCCTAGTGATATTTCTAATTTAGAAAAATTGTTGTATCAGGTTTTGTATCGTTTTTTTTNTTTTTTTTTTTTTTTTTTTTTTTTTTTTTTTTTTTTTTTTTTCAGGAGATAAAAGAAAAAAAAAAATTTTTAACACTTGCCTTATAAAGCTTATTTCTTAAGAATTTGCAACTTTCTTACTTTTTGATAAACACTTGGACGACCTTAACGATCATATGTTTGTATTATTACAGGAAAATTCATGTAGTTGGCTATTTTTAATATTTTTTGATTTTTGGGTCATACAAGTAACTACGTTTCTTATCTTTTGTTCATTACTTACTTTTTTGGATCTACACTTGTTACTTTTACGAATTTATCACGTAAATGCGAACTTCGTACTGTAGAGCACAAAAACTCTCATTTTTCTGTTTTAAATGCTGTTTTCCTTGTATATCATCAGAATCGTTGGATCACTACCAGAATCAGTTTTCTGTGACACCAAAGGCAAAAGTGTGTAGTACCAGGAACATTTTATTTTGAATCATCTATATCTCATTTTAATTGTATATAGACCTCAAACATAAACTGTTACAGTAAACTGATTATTTTAAAATATTGATAGTCTTGCTTCAATTTCGAAGGCAAAGTGATGGTTTGAAAAAAAAATAACTTCAATAAAACAATGAAATCAAAAAATGTATTTCTTTGAGATCTACAAGTTATTACTTGCGAAAAAATGTGCAATGTATATTCTGAAAAATAGCAAATAATCTGTAAATATTTTTTGTACATCTTTTTTTCCCATCAGAGTATACAAATAATTATTTTGCTACTTTGGGAGTATTATTTACCTTTGTAGTTTTAATGCACCCTGAATTGGAAAAATGAAGTTCGTACCTGATGCGCGTCCAGCACAAAGAGCCCTTCGGGCTTGGTGGCTACGCCATGCTATACTAGGTATGAAAACTACGTTTTGTGATAAAATGAATACAAATTTTTGTTTATTTGGGATCTACAGTTGTTTCTACAGTGCGTAAAATTAAAATATGTCAAAATAAAGTTTCAAACATTCTCTTATGAATAATATTCTAAGTATTTATGAGCAAAATATCTTGACCATAATCCTTAGCCTTAGATGTATAAACAAAACTTCTACTCGAATACACCTTAGATCTATAAAAAAATGAGCGTAGTTGGAAATCGATAGCTGTAAATATATTTCCCGGGAAATCTAAGTATTGGGGAGAAATGTTTATATCTCAGCAATATTAAAAAAATAATTCGACAAGTTAGCTTAAAGAAATTTTTTTTTCCTTGCTAATGTTATACTTCAATACGTGAGGTTTACTTGTAGTTAATTACAAATTGAATTGTCGCAGCCGCATCTTAAGCTCAAACTTTGTCACTTTGTTCAACTTGAGTACTTGTTTATACAAATTTAATTTTATACGTTCTTTTTTTTTATGTAACGACTACACATGAATATGTATTGGGGCCTCATTAAAAATGACTTTTTGTGCAAATCTTAATTACTGAGAAAAGGTAAAATGTGTTCAACTCCATATCTATACCCACTACACATGGGTGTCGCAATTAAAATTCACACATACTTGATTGAATAAAAAGAATCACGCTTGAAATTCAAAAAAAAAGAGATAAAATTTTAGGTAGCATACAAATTTAAAACTATTTGTTTGATCAATCAATCGCTTCTAATGACAAATAAAATAATGCCCATATTCACGTTTTGTATGTACATACAATTGAGGACGCAGATGCGAGGTATTTTTAAAGAGCCTGCCCACATGGCATTTCCAAGGGCTGTCGTAGTCAAGAACGTCTCGCCCCTCGAAATGGCATCGTTTAATATTGTCCTGATCGTCATTCTGAGCGCAACATCCGTGGTGAGTGCCAAGAACTTGGTCGTCGGTAAGCGCATGTACAGCGACAGGGTTGTGCAGTGCAGAGAAGATGTGCACCGGTCGGCGAAGCCCCACGTGATCTATCATTTCACGCATACTTGCGAGGGAGCGCGTTACATCGACAAAGTGTCGGCGAGGAACAACGGCAACGACACGGGATACGCAAAAATAGTAACTGGTGGTATTGGGCAGGAAATTGTCGCGGTTCAGGTGTGGTCAAAACCTGGAAGGCCCTTGGACTTTGTTATCGAAGTGTTTGGTTTCAAATAAATTTTGATTGTTTCGTTGTAATGATATTTACTTGCTTCCTTTTTTTTTCCTTTTTTTTTCATGTCAGATGAGGTAAGCACATAACTATTTCCGATCACGTCCCTTTTTCTACTTTTTTTCTTACTTTACAAAAAACTAAACGTATTGACACTTTTTTTAAGTGCACCATGTTATTTACTATAGGGATACTGTTAGTTTCAGTCACATTTTGATACCGATTGACATATGAGTTTAAGTGAGGAACTGTTTGAAGGTTCATCAAAAATAGGTGTCTCAGTGATCACAAATAGATATATACTTACCTTCTATTTCATGCCCACTAGGCATGTGCGATACCGGGGGTCTAATTCCTATAAAACAACTAAAAATACGATAATGCGCATGCGCAGTTTAGGGATTATCGAAAAAAATGCTTACTTTTGCTAGATATTAAATACTCGATTAGACCCCCGGGGGCTCTATCACGGCTTTCGATATCTCGCAAAAGTCAGTATTTTTTTCGATAATTTAAGTAAAATTATGGTTGAGCGCATGCGCAGTCTAAGAATTATCGAAAAAAATACTGACTTTCGCGAGATATCGAAAGCCGTGATAGAGCCCCGGGAAATGCAACGAGACTTCGATTCGGTCTCGAGATTTTTTTCAAGTCTCGCCTCGTCTCGAAAGTCTCGAAAATTTTCTTCGAGTCCTACGAGACTCTCGGTCGGATCGGAAGTCACGACGAAACTGTTCGAAACCTACGATACTTTGTGAGTCTCGAAGGACTCGAAGAAAATTTTCGAGACTTTCGAGACTTTTGGGGAGTCTCGATGGTCTCGAGGAAGATTTTAGAGATTTCTAGGTTTGTTTGGTGATCCACAGAAAAAGCTTGGACTGTGGTCACATGTGTATACGTGGATTGTGAAAAAGCTCACATGATACAGTTGTACGGAGTTAAGTTATTTTGGTACGCATAAAATGTAAATTTCACAATTTTTGTAACCGTATAGTCTTTGGTCGCGTTCTGACGAATCGGCAATGGACGAGACGATTAAACCTATGAAAGCGAGTGAGATGTGCGTGGCAAAGATCAAAAGTCATGGGTTGCAATTAGCTTTTTGCTAATCACTGAAAAAATCAAAAATCTCAAAAATCTTCTTCAAGACCACCGAGACTCCCCAAAGGTCTCGAAAGTTTAGGGATTTTTTCGGGACTTCGAGACGAGACAAAACTTTGGCGAGTCTCGTCTCGTCTCCAAGTAGGTATCGCACAAGCCTAATGCACACAATGTATGTTTGAGTGAACAATAATTTTATCTAATAATCGTAGATGTAACTAAAGTTGTATTAAAAATATTGAAATAAATGTTATGAATAACATTGTTGTGAGGGTAAAAACGTGAATTTTAAAGCAATTTCAAAGTATAGAATTGCTCTGCATTACATATGCACCGATACTATCACACGTGGCAAACATTTGATCTGATCACTCTTTATTTCCTTTCTAGTGATGCGTATAGGACGCGTACTTTTTTAATTACAACAACAAAACTACTTTAAACGTGTTTCGAGAAGCTTCGATGACTATTCGATCTTAAAAATAAGACTCAATCGTTAAATATATCTGCACTGGTGCTTATCCGAGTGCTGTTGTTGAATCACAATTAAAATATTATTAGTAGAACTTTGAAATAATAAGGAAAAAAGCATCTCTCGTGCGTTTCTTATTTTGCAGGTAGTGGTATTTTTATTACGTTGAAACAATACACAATATTCAATAAAAATGCATGCAGTAAAAACAATAAAAATTTCTTTTTTTTTTTTTTTTTTAAGCAATGCACTTTCAAAGTGGTTTACCCATATCATTTGACGCAACGGAACATAAGAGTCGTCAGCAAGCCGGCGTGGCAAATACGTAGACGGAGAAATTGAGCGGATTGTTCCTGGGGCTTATCATGTTGATGCTCACGGTTTTTTGGCAAATGCCCCCCTTGTATATGTGAGCGTAGCCACCTCTATCCGGGCAAACTCTGTCAATGACGAGCACGTGGGTGATGAACTGCTCGGGTTTGCTCACTTCGCAGGTGGTCCACATCTGCGCGGTTTTGCCGGGCTGCGCGTCCAGGGAGAATTCCCCGTGACAAAGTTGGCCGTCGTCTTGACGTCGCCGACCGGCTTTCAGGCTTCTGGCATTCATCGACAGTACTAGTGATAAATACAAACAAACGATCGAGTACTGTTTGATGGGACTCAGTTGCTGGATCATTTTTTTCTGGTAAATTGGGGTGACTCTTGGTAGGCTATAGGAGGTTGAACGAAACACTATAGGTAAAGCGTTTACAGTGTGGTTGTGAAGTAGTTTTAATACGTTGCAATATATTTACTACCTCAAAGATGTAGGGATTTTTTCTGAAAAAAAAAAAAACATCAATAAATTATTTTCTACGTCAATATCTTGGTTTTTCTCTTAATTGTAGTTTCGACGACTCCAACGGAGAATATGTTGCAATTTACGTTGGCAGATAAAAATATTCTAATTTCATTTAAAAACGAAAATCCAAGATTTTTTCCAATCTTAGAGAAAAATACCATCTTTTAAAACGGCGGATAAAAAACAAGATCTTTTAAAAATTTCTATACATAGGAAGATAAAATTTTCAATTTTTTAAAATTATAATGCTTTGCATTTATTATTTTATTGGGTGCAATTTTTATTACAATATAAAATTTAAATCCATAAAATAATTTGTAAGTTTATCGATTCATAGCGTTAAACAACATTTGGTAAAATTAAAAAGTTAGTGCTATTAGTGTGAAATTTTTTAAAGATCATGTGTTTTATTTGTGGTTTTTGCCAGGTCATATTCCTTATATAAGATTTTCAAAGTGACATGTTCCTTGTCTAAAAAAAAGTGCAGTATTTGTTCTTCATCTTCAGTAACAGTTTTTAAGACTATTATATTGAAAGATTGATAGCAATTACTTCTCGATTAAACTGTCAAGTATAAAAATAAAAGTAAGATCTGATTAGTCGAGTAAGTGTAATGATGTAAACCTGTATCTAGTCTAAGAATATTATCTAATTATGAAACAGATATTTTGAGAAATTTTGCCAACAAATAGAGGCGCTTTACTTATATTATACATCCAGCAAACAAATACTCCTCTTAAATGCAGCTAGAAATATAACTTGAAATCTTCAAAAAATATTCTCAAATAGATGTTAAATAAATATGCTCAACTAATTGCACGAAATATAATTTTTCTTAATCAAACAGCACTGTTGATTTTATGTAAATAAAAATTTAGAGTTGACTTTTATAACTCATACATAGGAAAATTAATTATTTTACGTTTTCAAGGCACAACGCATAGAAAGTAAATTTTTTATCATGCGAGAGATCAGCGGACAAAAAACTGATCAAAAAAAAACCTAATTGAAATAACGTGCAGAATTTAAAAAATTGTTGAAGCTTTTTTAGTTATTTTAGTTGCTTGACTATCTCTTAAAAAAAGTTAGATTTGTTATGAAAATGTTAACTACTAAATATATGAAAAGATACCCCGGTTGTAAATAAGAATAAATTACTAATATCGTATTGAAGCATAAAAAAGTACTATAAAAATTTTTTGTCACGATCCTTCGATATACTTTTTTATGCTAAGAGAAGAAAATGTAATAGTAAACATGGTACGTCAACTATCAACCTATAAAATTTCTAAGAGATTTCAACTTCTCATAAATTTACAATTAACATATGAATGCGTTGTTACAGTGTGAGTATGTTGATAATAAACATGTGACTGTTTCTACGAACTTGTGATAAGTTAATAATGACACTCATTCAAAAAAAAATAGCAAAACAATATGGTACGTTTATAATTAACTCACCACGTTCATCGTTAGATTTTAGTTCTCTTAGTAAACTAACCAACAACCAATGTAAAAATTTTTAAAATTTTACTACTTTGATATTAAAAAAAAAAAAAGGGACTAACTACACGTCTATGGTGTGG